GGCCCTTCGTCCCCCGCGGGCCTGGATCGGGGCTCGGGTTAGGCACCGACTGCCGCCGAGCAGCCGTCCCCATACGGGCTTGCCGCCTGCCGTGCTTGCTTGGATGAGTCTGCGACATGCCTAATAAGAGACGAGATGGGCCAGGGCGACGAGAGCGACCGCATTGTGATCAACGTGGGAGGGACTAGGCACCAGACTTACCGCAGCACCCTACGCACCCTGCCCGGCACTCGGCTGGCCTGGATCGCTGAACCCGATGCCCACAGCCACTTCGACTATGACCCCCGCACGGATGAGTTTTTCTTTGACCGGCACCCGGGCGTCTTTGCCCACATCCTGAATTACTACCGCACTGGCAAGCTGCACTGCCCCGCGGACGTGTGTGGGCCCCTGTATGAGGAGGAGCTGGCCTTCTGGGGCATCGATGAGACCGATGTGGAGCCCTGCTGTTGGATGACCTACCGGCAGCACCGTGACGCCGAAGAGGCTCTGGACAGCTTTGGTGGGGCGCCCCTGGATAGCAGTGCTGAGGACGGAGACATAGATGGCACCGGAGACTCTGGTGATGGTGAAGAGGAGCTGGAGATGACAAAACGCCTAGCACTTAGTGACTCCCCAGATGGCAGGTCTGGGGGCTTCTGGAGACGGTGGCAGCCCCGCATCTGGGCGCTCTTTGAGGATCCCTACTCCTCCAGATATGCAAGGGTAAGCTATGCAATCAGCACCCTCATCAAAACACTCGAACCTCCCTTCAGTCCCACTTCCTCCCAGCATCACCAGGGTTATCTCCACTCTCAGCGCAGAGCAGCCATCCATGTGTGTAGCCATACAAAAATCATGCGTGGGCTATGGGGACATAACCCACGCTCTCAAGCAGGCCCCATGCATGGGGCACGAGTGGACACCAAGGCATGAGCTCATGTACTCATATGTGGGCTTCCAGAGACCCTTATTCTCTAACAGGCTCCTAAAACCCCACAGCCTGGGGGAAGGTCCCATTCACGGGCCAGGGAGATCTCCATTATACCAGGTAATTTCCCTCCATGCACAGATTTTTACAGTCAGTCATCCCCCAGTAAAGAGACACCTTGTTCAGCCCTCTTGCGAGCTAACGGCTCTCTCCCCTTTACGAGATGGAGAAAGGATCATGGGAGCAAGCAGTCCCTGGGAGACCAGGGGTTCGGAGAGTTTCTCAGCCTGGACTGGAAAGGGAATCTGTTCATTTCTCTTTTCTCATACATACCATGTTAAATATTTATGAACATGCTTCTCTGAGAATGGGTAATTCAGTTCCTCACTTACCTCCTCACTCTGTCTTTTCCCTTGTGGGAAATGAAAAGTATTAATCAGAGAAGAGGGTTCATTCATGTAGAAGGGACTCTGCATTTGACAGGTTTCTTGCCTGGCTACTGAAGGACAACTCCTCCTCTCCTGGTGCCTGCGGTTGTTTTGGAAAGGGAGTGCATACTGGTGCAGTTCACAGCATAGCTGTGGATAAAGATGGTCTTAAACAGTCACTCGACTGCTCTAAGTAGGTACCTTTCGTGCTATTACATATGAAGATAATAACATTAATTAGGGCCTGATGCTGCTCCTGAAGTCAAAAGTAAAGAAAATATTTACTTCAGGAGCAGCAGCAGGATTAACCCCCAAGATACCCATATGGATAAACAGGAAAATAGATGAAGGATAGTGCCTTTGCAAAGAAATTGATTTGGATAGGTTTTACTCCTCTCTTAAACGTACCTTTGTTACAGCATAATTGCTGCCAGCCCTCGGTAGGGATGAGTGGTGCTTTGGTGTGGGAGGATGATCGGTGTTCCTGAGGAGGATCAAAGAAGTGAGATCAGATTAGGGAGCAAATTGGATGGATGGATGGAGGAAAAAGAAGTGGAAATGCAGGGAGCAGGGACAGGGGAGCTGGTTGTGTATGAATGGTGGTGGAACAGCAGCTGCTGGAGACTTTCGGTCTGAGCAGAGACCTCCAGCAGGGAGCCGCCAGGTCTGCAGACTGAATGAATGGGGAAAGCTGGAGCAGAGCCTGGAGTTATATCTTGGTGTATTTCTAAAGATTCTTGTTTACATACCCTTTGGAGATTTCCTCCCTGAACAAAGAAGTTAATATTTTAAATGAATTCCTTTAAACAGCATGGAGGATAAAGGAATAATAAAATATTTACCACGAGATGAAAGGATGATGCTGTTGAATTGCAGCTTTCAAATCCCTGATTTCTGTCAAGGGAACATGGAAACGGAGAGGCAAGGCTGGAGGGTATCCTTCAAAAGGCTTCGTTAGCTTGCTTTAATCAAGCCCAGCATTAGCAGGCGTTGATTTGAATAGCAGATCTCTATGGTGCCCAGGAATCTGTTGGTAAAACACGTTTCAATTCAAAGCTGTGTGCTTGTCCAAGACTTTGTGGAATGGTCCAAAAGCCAAATGGATAATGCTGTCCCAATGAAAAGGATACAAACAGAGGCTAACCCACCCTTTTGCTTGGAAGCATTATGATATTTTAGGTCAGAGGACAAATTCTGTAACCAATATTAAGAGTCTTTGTGATGTACAATCTGGAATTCTAGGAGGATGTAAACTCCATTTTCTAATTCTCTACAGGTATTTTCATTTAGGAATAGGCATTTTATAAAGTGATTTGTGTTTGGTTTTGGTTTTTTTTTTCCAGTGGATGATATACCATTTATTCACAATTACACGTGCATACCCGGTAGAATTCAACCCCTGATTTACCGCTAACTTGTTCTTTCCTTAAAGGATTGTTAAACTAGAGAAATATGAATTCTGGGCAAAGTTGAAGTGTATACTGAATATTTCATGGGTTAAATATGATTCTTTAACTTATATCTATGGAGACGTAGGCCATATGCATTAATATTTTGCATGAAGGAAGATGGCTTTTATCATCAACACATGCACACACTGTCCATTAAGAAGACATTATAAGACACTTAGCAATTCCTAATAAAAGCCATATGTTATGGTTATGGATGTAAAAAGAGATGGGAGTTTGATTTATGCTCCTGTAACCTAACACAGACATTTGAAAAAGACCTTAAATTCACAATAGCTAATTTACAGTAAAATAATTGATAGCATCATTAACAAATGAATGGTATATTAAAGCAATCATTAGCAAAGTAGAGTCAGGCAACAAATCCACTGTTACCTCACTTTTAATTGTGTAGGCTGCTTTCAATTACAAACTTTGTTTTGGTCATGCAAAAATTTAAATTCACATTGCCATTTTGTCAAAAAAATACATCACAAAAATTTGTCATCCTAATTGGATGTGGGACTTGTACTAATGGTGGTGGTTATATACATGTTTGGTGTTTACATATGGCACCAAAATGTATGTCAAAATAGCATCTCAATATAAGCATTGGTTTACATAACCATCATACTGTTACACGGGGCAAGTAAAAGGAATACAGTATATTAAGATTAAATTAAAACCTGCGTATCTGAATAAAGCAAGATTTCTCTGGACTATGTCTGGTACACTAATTCAGTGAATGTTTAGGAACCGTCTACGGAAAGCTCAGCATTTACTCAAATCTAGCCATTCTTGGAGCATTTTAATGGACAGTGCTTACAAAGACAAGTACATTTGACTGTTTTGCTTCACCAGCACCTCACTCATCCTAAATCACATCTGTTCTTGTTGTAGATGTCCAGGAGAGACTGGAAGAGCATTCGTGTGTGTCAGGCAAAATCAGCTAACTCTGCGAATTTTATCCATTTCTAAACTTAGTTTGATAAAGCATAATCTCCCAGTCACTAATTGTTTGTCTTTAGGTTCAACATGGTCAACGGTTTCCTGCTAAAACAATAGTGGCTGAGTTTAATTAAATTCTAGTTTTCTAAACATTAATGTCTTATATAACGTAGTTCTTTCTAAAAAGATGAAGTACTTTAAAAAATTGCCTCTCCTTTTAAATCTATAATAAGAAAAGATATCTTGTTTGAAATCACAGATTACCTTAGACGCCTACCTTAATAAGATAAACGGGTGTCGCACTTCTCCATAACTTACAGAATCCACATTTGGGTAGCAGAAACAAAGTCTGGTACCTGGAGTTCAGAACAGAGTAATAGATAAGGTGACGGAAAAGATCAGAATTACAGAGATACTGGGTGCATATGCAGACAGACAGGCATCCAGGTGGATTTTCAGAAGCGTCTGATCAGGCAGCTATATATCACTGCATGTCAATGGATATCATGCATCTAAATCGTTGAGAGTTTCTTTAAAGCATATTAGAACTGTCTTTTTTGCATGGTCAGGTAACTTCGTAAATTTATTTTCATAAGTAGACACGAAGGGGGAAATAGTGTCACACAGAAAGCTACACAGATACACTAAAGCAGCATATCTGAGAGTTGTGTTGTAATAGAGTTCCTGCCTTCTGCACTCATTAGATTTCACAGGCCTCTCAGTACACAAATGTGTGAAAAATATTTTCTTAGGATCCTCTCTCCTTTGTATTTATGTCTGGTCATGCTGTTCTTACACTAGCTAAGCTCCCACTGACTTCCTGGGGAGTTTAGCCTGCAGGTATCTAATATCTTTGCCCCCTTCCTTCTCATCCTCCCCAGCAGGATAAGGTTGTGTTTGTGTTAATTCACAGTCGTTTGGTTAGTCAGTGCTTGGGAACCAGGAGCTTTCAGCTGAGATTCTGCGCTAGCACTCGCATTCGAATTGGACAGTTAAGCTTCATTAATGAACCCTCAGGAAAGGTTTTGTAGTCCTTCCAAATAAATGTTTTTACTGTTTTTAAATAAAAGCTGGTTGAGGTCCTATGGAAAGTCCTCAACAGCTTGACTTGCTATCCTGGCATATGCTATACAGCTCTCATCTGAAAGAGGAAAGGCTTATGGCAAAACTCTCACTCACCCTTCTCCCTTCACATCCTGCAGAAGGATCCGCTTTCCTCAGTGGGTGATTTTTGAAGGACAAGTTTCCGACACTGAGAAGGAGACAGGAAAAAGGATAGTGGGGAAGAGATGAGAAAAAGGTATTCCCCGGGGATTTCTTCCAGCTTTCTTTTGTACATTCCAGAGCATTTCAACCTTGCTGTGTTCATTTAAATGGATTTTTGTCTATGTAAACTACATCCTGTAGGTATGAGAAGGCTTGTGGGATCCTAGTTCCTGAATAACCATGCTGTCTCAAGGCTTAGAGGCTGGTGTGATTTCTGCTTGTCCTTTACCCTGGCCCAGTACAGCTGAACTCAGGAATTGGGGAAAGCGTCAGGGAGTGGGAAGAGACACTCATCATCTTTCACAAGGGGAGCTTATTCTGCAGCCATCTGACGCAGGACACACTTCGCATGGGAGTGCTCGGCAGACAGTACTCTGGGGGCTCGCACCAAGCATGAGCAGATAGGGAGAGAAAGGAGGAGAGCTGCCCCACACGCTTTCCCATACCCACAGGCATCCCTCTCCCCAGGGAGGGATTTCATCAAAGGGGCCCTGATGGAGCTGCTCTCCCACCTTGGGCCTTTCTGCAAGGTCTCCCCTGCAGAGGCATATCTAATCCTGCACTGAAGCTTGCTGCAGTAATTCTCACCATATACTTTGACAATTAACGAGACAGCCTAATTTTAACTGCACGCTGCATTACAGCTCTGGAAAAATGAGAATCTTTCCACATTCAGTGAAGTTTCCCCTGCGCTTGTAGTATAAT